TTTGCATACGATGCCTACGTCACAGTGTCCTATGGTACAAGCAAAAGAGCATTTGGTTAAAAATAATGAACTAAGCCATGCTGTTGATCCTGTTCCAGATAGGGATGATTTGCAGATAGGTCGAAGTAAGAACGGCTTCTTCAATTATATATTGAGCAAAAGTAGGAGGAGTCAGCACAAGGAGATGGATCAAACTTGCAAGCATGTTGTAAGGAGTGATAGTAGGGTGAATAAAAAGGTAGCTAATTGGAATGTTTTTGGCATGCTAGAAACAGATAGTCAAAAACAGAACGAAACTACCGGTTGCTATGTTCACGGATTTAGGATTCCGACTAAGCCGGGTGATATCACCAAGAGGTCTCCCATGCCTGTAAAACTGCCCTATCCAACCCCAATTGATAGTAGGGGGAAGGAATCATCACCAAACATGGAAAAATGGAGACGTTCAGTACCATCCAAGTTAACGGTATCAAAATCTCTTAGTCATAAGAAGCGACCAGTACATGAGATTCTAACGGAACAGAAGAAAGCCGGCACGGGAATTTTGCGGAACAAAATTCTACTGAAACAGCAAGAATCCGACGAGTCTTCTACGGCCGGCAGTGGTAGCAGTGACAGTGAGGCTTATTCTTTGGCAAGTGAGGATAGTTCAGCTTCAATATCCAGTAGTTTTGATCATGGAGTACGTGACGAGAGTAGTTCATCAACTAGCAGTGACTGCAGGGATGGTGGTGAATCAGGCAGGCTGTATGATACCAGAACACACAAATCAATCCATCCGACAAACTCTGAGCCCGAAAAAGGCGAGGGTCAAAGGCCAGGACGGATGAGGAGGCTTAAGAACAAGTTGGCACTAATTTTTCACCATCATCACCACCACCACCACCACCACCGTTACGATAACCACGACAGAGGTGATCACTCCCAAGGAGAGCACACCAAGCCTTTGTGGACATCTTTGCACAAGCTTTTTCATCCCAGAACCGGAAATAAAGTCGGTGAAGATAAGTTAAGAAAAGCGGGGACGAGAAACGTGCTGGTCAAGCATCAGGTAGGACACTTTCATTCACTAGTGGGAGGATTGATGAGGCACCTTAAGCAGTCAAAGAAAGCAAAGACTCCCAAAGGTGGAATGGGACGACTAGGGAATGACCAAACCAAGAAAGCCAGGAAGGCGAAGCAATTACATTGGTGGCAGATGTTTCATCGTCAAGGTGGAGTAAAACTACCCAAAAAGAGGCGTGTGAAGGTAGGGTTTAAGGGTAAAAAGAACCAGCTTAAGGTACCTAAGTTGAAATAGAAAATAGAGCAGGGTGCATGGCTGGGTATGTATTTAGTCACTCGATTATCATTTTAATTTCATTTTAGTCATCTAATTGTATTAATTGATTCAGTATAGAGACAACGAATAGAAAATTAGGTTTATACTATTTTTCTCTCATCATCTTAGTCTTCAAACATGAAATTTTATTAGAAAAATCACTCTTTGTTCTCTGTCTTTGGTTGTGGTATAAGATCAAGATTAATTACCAGTATCATTCTCAAGTGGCAGAGTCAGCTTATTGAGGGTGAACGCGCGTCCACTTTAAAATTTGATTTTTCTTCGATTAGTTACTTATTTTATTGATGATGTACATCATGAAATATGAGTTTTCTTTGATTAATTACTTATTTTACGGACGGTGTCTGCCCTAAAATTTTATTTATACTCATCTCATTTAAAATTTTTATGTTGTTAACATATATGTGTCTACCCTGATATTGTTGAGGACAAGTGCTTGATATTTTGATAAAAAGAACATAAAATATAAAATTTTCATCTCGTAGGCTCTGAGACCAGTTTATGATTGAGAATTAATTTACTTTATGTTAGAATTAAATTGAAGTTTCGTCACCATTTTCAAAAACCAGCTTTTTATATTATTAAAATTATCAATAAATATAATTTAATAATTAAAATGTTATTAAAATAATATATTAATATTACATATATAAAATAATAATGTTTTGAGTGTTTATGATTTGAAGTGAAAAGTTCGTAAAATGAATTATAGAAAATCAGATGATAAGTCATTTTTTAGAAAATGCAAAGGAAATTCAGTTGACCAGAAAAATAAATTATATTGACCACTTGTTTTCCGTCAACCAAATACTGAAAAATGGAAGGAAAAAAAACATTTTCTGAAAATCAGTTATAGAAAAACAAACAGACCCTAAATGAAAGTATTGAACAGTCTCTTTTAGATGGGTTCAAATTTATTCCAGTGGAGGATCATTTTATACTTATAATTATAAGGTTAGAATTGACAATTAATTTTAACGAAAAATCGATAAATTTTTCTCTTTCAATATTCTCATCTAATCATGTAGTCATTGAATCAGAGATGACAACACATAAAAACATTTAGACTGCATCACCACCATCTATATTTATATTTATAATTGTTTAGTATATTAATAAAGGTTATATTATATCACCAGTGATTGAAAGGAATGTTTTTTTTTAAAGATCATGAATTTTAGTAGTTACATTTGTAGTATATTATCTGTCAGTAGACAATCTAACCTAAGCTAACCATAGCATAGCATAATCGCTATGGATAAAAAGAAATAATGATACTAAATTTAACAACCAAAAACCTTTTAAAGATCATTTGATCGAGGTAAATTGATAGGTTTCAAAAATCTTCAAGGAGTTCGTCTTAATTTAATCTTATCTAGGATGTACGAAGTAAGGTCGAATCAGTGAAGGTCTATTTTAGTACGGAGGAAGAACCTCAACCATTATACATGTGATTGCAATTGCTCAGAGGAATTTTTAATAGTATCATATATTTTAATTTTGTTACATTTTAAATATGTACACATATGGTTGCTGCATTAGGTTATGAAACTCGGAAGCAAGCACTTGGGAGCTTGGATGTGCACCATGTTTTCTTCACTCATGCATGACTTTAACGTATGACTTCACTTGTTTTGAATGGATTGCATTGGTATGTTTGCATTACATGAAAATTGGGGCAATGAAGATTCAAGGAACAATTAGCATGCATTCAAGCTACCTTTCCACTATGTAGGACGTCCTACACATTCCCATTGGCTAGGAGATTCATTCCTATATGTTTGGGAGCATTTTTGCAAACTTGGAAGGTACACATTCATCCATGTATGACCATCCTTACCTTTTTCTATGTATGGACGGTTAAGGAGGATGATTTGGAGTCTTGGAATATTCATTCATGAATAGGGATTGCAATTTAATCCGAATCCGATGGATTCCGTTTCGACCTGATTCGATAGGGTCAGATTTTTTTTAAAATTATGGTCGGGTCGGATTTTTAAGGGACGAAGTCGGGTCGGGTGTTGGTGGAGGGTGAAAAACTCCAATCCGACCCGATCCGAGGATAATAATGTAATCTTCTTAAAAAATGTTATTTTTTAATTAAATCCTTATTTTTTATCGGGTCGGGTCGAATTTATACTACGAAAATTAGGGTCATATCGGAGTCGAGTATAGGATATATATTTTCGGGTCGGGTCAGATTCGGGTGGAAGATACATATTTTCGGGTCGGATTGGATTGACCAGAAACCCGACCCTAACATGACCCGTCGCCATCCCTATTCATGAAGCATGGATCATCCTAATACATATTACCCAAGGGGAGTGTTTAGAGCTTTTTGAACATTCAAGAGACATCTTTGACTCATGTATAGGCAGCATTGAAGAGATTCAAGACTTCTTTCATTTTACCATTCGTTCACCCTTCTAATTCAAACATTCAAGGGGAATGTTTTGGGTTTAGGTTCAAATCTTCATTGCATCAGACAGAAGCTTAATTATCGATTATATCATCTAAATTAATGAGGTTTAATTTTAGTCGTTTGACTTGCTGATGTAAAAGTTGTCTTAACTATTTTTTGAAGTAACCTTAATAGTTTTGAGGCCAAGTTCAACCAGCTACAACAGAATAATTACAGTATTTAATCAGCTGTCAATTTTCAGACATTAATCAGTGTTTATTACTGATTTCTTTTTTGACGTTTTTAGCCTTGAATAAAGCCTATAATAGATAGGGTTTTTCACATTTCTAATCATCTCCCAAGCACCAACATTTGCTTTTACTAAAATTCTCTCAAAGTTCTCTCATAACTTTTTTTGGGTTAGAAGAACAATTCCACCATTGTCCACTCCGATCTTCGGGTGTACGATTATTCAGAGTTATCTTGTTAACCTCGGGAGACGAACGCCCAACACAACGATTACACACATCGAGGCGAAATCGTTTCGTGCATCGATCTCACCGGTGGCCGAGTAGGGATACTTGTAGCACACGTCAGTGAAGAAGATGGCTTCATACGGGATACAACAATACGTTATAGATGTTTTTGTTGTTTTTTGCGCAGGTGCAAGGCTAGAAAGAAAAGGAACCTCTCCAAACCTCCCTCGGGGAGGCTTTAGAAGGAACATTACCCCTCCAAACCTCACCCAAATTTTCTGCATTGTACAAAATCTTGGGTGGTTTATATTAGTGTAAGAAGTAATAGTCATATGAAAGTTGAGTCTTTGTAGATGATAATTTGTTCACTTTTACAACAAAAACCATAAGAACAATATCTTTTTTTTAAAAAATCGGATGATCATTTTATATATTTTTTATTATCAGAAGACGTAAAGGTAAAGCACGTCATAGTTTGGGGACCAACAATATATTTTACCCCTTTTATCATAATTCCTATACGTTATTCAGTGCCTGTCAAAACGGAATTAACCATACAATCAGGGTCATTCAATTAGGATCGTAAATAAGTCGAGTTTGATTACTGTTGAATTTGACTTTACTATAAAACTTTAAATCTAAGCTTGACTCTACTCGAAAGTTTGCGAGTTTAAAATTATCAAACTTCACTTGAACTCGAAATATGACATGTATATGCTTTTTACCACTCTTCCTATGATAGTGTCCAAAGAAAAGAAAAAAGGTATCGTTTCAAAGTTAATGAGGAAAACCTGTACCACATCTGAGATTCTGCATCTCTCCCCTGTAGACTATATTATCGGCTTTTAATCATATATCTTCACCGGAGCACAAGAATAACCAGATATGCCTCTTCAACAAACACGACGAGATAACACTAGATGTTGTTTCGGAGAAAAGGATTTATATCGTCTTGGAGACATCCTGAAACTCGACACTCTTCAATCACCAGTACCAGCAAACTAGACCCCGGATACATTGGTGACCTAAACATGCCTTTTCCTGCCAAATAAAAACATGGGACCAACCATAGATGATTATTTGCAAAGCTTTATACAAGAAGGCAGCTGTAATCAAATTACAACTGGTATCTGTTAGAGCTAATTGTAGATGCAACCGGTATCTGTAGTTCTCCGATAAACAAGACATTCTGTAAAAGGCTCTAACTCATCAGATCACAACTATTTTGCAGACTCGTAGCAGCTGTAGAACTATGATCTGATGAGTTGGATCCTTTTACGTGTTTAATTATTCACAAGATTCATTTTTAATTAAAATGATCTTAAAAAAATGCTAGAAAAGATGGTTTTATATATTTGTTTAGCTCTCACAAGTCACATCCCCCACCACCAGACTACCAAAACGGGAAAAAAAATTGAACCCTAAATCATTTTCACTCTTATGCCAAATAACCATAACTGGAATTCATTGTTAATGAATTAAGTATATTACATGAGTGAAATAAAAAAAGAAAACACAGAATAATATTCATTAGCTAAGGTGAAAAAAAGAGCAAACACAGGACATAACACATACCTTAGAGAAGATGAACATGTTGAGGTGTTTGAGAACCCGATAAACACATTCGAGTACGACTTGGTCAAATACGAAAAGTTGGCAATTGGAGGTAGAGCAGGAACCTGTTCACCTTTCTTCAAAAGGTCTTGCAAGCTGAGTCTTTGCAGGGTCAAGACAGACCTTGATTCCTTCCATACGAAGGCAAGCAGACCATTTTGAATGACAAAAAGTGAGCCAGGCTTTGAGCCAGGATACCTAAAACCATATCCATTTGCAATACCTTCTCCCACAAAAGCATGCTTCACATTCACAGGATGTGAATCTGCATCACTGTCCCAGGGAAACGGGTCCAGTGAAGGCTCATCAATATTCACTATGAACATTGCAGAACCATTTGGGTGCAGAACATAGTGGGTGCCTTCCAATATTTTAGTAGCAATGAGAAGCTGTTTTCCCTCTGTCTCTTCGTAAGAGAGCAAAAGAAAGAACAGAGCTTTCCCGGGCTTGTCTTCAGTCAGCCTTCCAGGAGGCCAACCAAATGTTCCTCCCCATAAACCGGCATACTCTTGATCTTCCCTCGGAACCTGCATGGGCAGCTTGTAAAGAGCAAAGCGTGTATCATGCATATTAGGCCAAGCTCGATAAGATGATAACTTCATTGTAGAGGCACGTATTGTCAGCCCTATAGTATCCCCGGAATTCAGAAACTCATGAAGTTGAGCATGCCTATTCTCACTGCTAGAAGAATTGCATTTTGAAATTGCGATGCCACCATTGACAGAACTAGGTTTCCGAAGAATTTGCTTAATACTAGCTCTGAAGTACCCACCTAGACTTTTCCTATTGTTTCTGTGTGTCTGATCATCATCTCCATTCACAGAATTAGAAGAACTAGAAAGATCAAAGCTCTTTCTAATGTCACCAAGTTCCAACTGAATAGGACCAGAAGGCATTGCAGTACTTGGCATCAAATCCGTGCAACCCTGTTCACTACCAAACTTATACATCTGAAGAAGCAGTGATCTTCGCTGCAACATAAGCACCATTTTTTTCTGGAAACTCTCCCCATCCTCCCTCAACGGAGGGAAGAGTGGCCCACTTACAGAATCGGTAAGCTTAAGACGAACTTGGCTAGTAACAGTCTGAAGCAACTTTCTCCTGTCACCAAAATTCAACCGACTAAATGGAACCACGGCCTCACTCTGTCCTGAGGATCTCGATAAACCACTATTTGACCTAAAAACCTTTCTTGGAATCTCCTCATTGGAATGATGAGCAAAGCTCTTACTAGGGAACAGCTTGCATCCATTCCTTTTTGCTCTAGACTCAACCTCAAGCAATAGCACATTGCAATTCCGCTCCACAGATCCCACTGAACCAGGATAAAAATAGTCACATCCTTTCTCCCTACCATGAAGAATAAATGTGGTGGAACCATCAAAATCACCAATAATTTCAAACACCGGTGCCCATAGAACGGGGCCATCCTCAATTCCTAACGGACCGAGCTCTTGAGGAATTATTCGACATCCAACAACAGAAACAAAACCATGAATTACATAGACTACATTGCCAAGCTCGGGATTCTGGTGAACCCAAAGGCCGATCAACGGCTTTACTCTAACGAGGAAGCGACATAGTGCCTTATAAGATACTACACCTTCCCTCCACTCCACGAGGTCCCTCGTGGGAACAACTCCAACTACATCACATTGGGTGAGCCAAATCCTTTCGGAGGCAACATGTTCCCATAGACTTTTACAACATATACTGAGATTACATATGTCCTCTGGTGAAAGGGACCGTGACATAATAGCAAGCACATCATCAGGTAAAGCAAGAAACAAACTAGAACCACGGGTTTCTGGCATCATAGTAGTGTCTAAGTTATTAGTTCTTTGGGGTTATCAAGCTTTCTTTCTTTCCCCCCCACAAATTGAGCTACAAATCAACATTCATGGAAAAACAATAATTCTGAATCTATGAACAAATAACCCCAATAAAAAAAAAGAATTCAGAGAGAGCATGTTTACCCAATACACCAACCAAATTCTCCCAGCTTCAAATCAGGCGCCTTGAATAGAAATGGGTCTTTCATTCCTCCCTTATTCTAAAGCTGGAGAAGAAAATCAAAGTGAAATTCCATTAAAATTCCACATTTTTTTATAGTCCCCCTTCCCTTTGCATCTACAACTGAAGGAACATAAAGAAAAACAGAGGTAGGTTAGGCACAGTATGTAGATTTAGGAAACAAAGCAAGAAGTTGGGAGATTTGTGAAGTCGTCGGCACCAAATATTAAAATAAAAAGAAGAAAGTTTGGATTAATTAAAGCAGCTTTGACACTTATTTGCTTCGTTTTTTTCGGTTAATATTGAAATTGGAGGATGAGGAAACAATGGGGGAAAGTATTCTGCCACTCTCGAGTTGGATTGGAATATATTCATTGACTACTGACTCAGTGGACCATGTTTCTTGCTATTAGTAGCAGGCTGTGGTGGTTTTCCGTTGACGAAAATAGAATTTTAAAATTTGATTTTTCCATGGATGAGATGATAGATGGGAGGACCATTTTTTTTCACCGATTAAAAAAAACCTCGATACTCTCGTTTTTATTTAATTAAAATATAATTATTTTATTTTTTATTTAATTAAAACGTAATCGTCATAGATTAATTATCATGTTAACCGTTAACGGATTATGTGATATAATATTTTAATATAATTACACATTTAATATTTATTATTAATATATTCCCTCAATTTAATTTTATTCTAAATCAGTGATTAATATAAACCAAAACAAAGGACATTGCAAACGGTGATGACTTTATTGATTGGATTTGCTGCCTTTGGTGAAGAGGGGAAACAGAAAGGGAAGAAAAAGAGAGAGGGGGAAATAATTTTTTTATTTTAATTAATTTTTTATTTTCAGAAATTATTTTTAAATATTCAAAAATATATCATATGGTATTTAACGGTCAAAATTAACGGTCCATCATGTATGACTCAAACTGAGTTACACATTTTTTTAAACGTTTAAGCCTTTTATCAAAGAGGACTTGCTTATATTACGAGTGCGCTTAGTAGGTCATTGTACCAATCGAACAACTTTCTCATACTAAGGTTAGTTCATAGATTGTACAATGCCAGAGTTTGAGCCCTCCCATGTCTTGGGAAGTTAAACGGTTTCATGTAAACTTATACGGCTTAATCTAAAATTAAGTGCTCAAATTATTTATTTTTAAATTTAGGTGTTTAATTTTTTTTTTGTTAAAATTGATATTTAACGTTCTTTCCATTATACTTTTAAGTGTATGTCGTTAAAAATGACTATTTGATATGTGTCATTTTTATACTTTTTGAATTTTTTATTTAAAAAAAAATTAAAGTCTTACTCCCATCGTCCCACTAAGTATGGGCAAAATCAGTGAAATAGTGCAACGGGAAAAAAATTCATGGAGTAATGCAATCCATGAATTATTTTTTAATTTGGGGGTGATTGCTATAGTGATCCACGAGGTTGCCGGCTGCTCCGAATGACCATCATAGGTCGCCATGTGCTCCGAACGACCTCCATATGTCGCACAGTGCGTCTTCGGATAAAAGCCTAATTACCGATATAGGTAATAGGTGTTACTTAGAGAAATTTAGGTAATCGTCGTTCGGAGCATATGGAGACCAACGTAGGTCGTTTTGAAGACATGACGACCTATAAAAAATTATAACATTCGCCCCAAATAAAAAAAATAATCCTTCGACTGCATTATTTGAGCAAAATTTTTTTACTGTTGCACTATTCCACTGATTTTGTCATAAGTATGTCTCTTTTAGTTTTTTTTTAAATTATCTCATTTAAAATATAATGATAGAAAAAGTCAAATAAACAACAATTATCTTTCTTTTTTTAATTTTGTATGTTCTACTCTTTTACACTTATCAAAACATATCTATCAATCACCTTTTAGAGATAATTTTATCATTTATCGTGGTCAAATATATATCATATCACTATTTGTATAGCCGATATCATATATATAAATTATGAGACAAGGAGAGTATTATCTTTTAAAAAAGACACCACGGCTACCGGTATACCATCCCCCACTCCTTCCACCTCTTCCGTTGTCAGAACCACCGCCAAAATCACTTAACGGTTTTGCCCATTAATTCTTACAGGACAATTGGTGGTGGATGTATACAGCTCCCATAACCAGCAATTGTATACTTATTATTTTGAAAAAAAAAATATTTAATTTGATTTAATATATTAAGAGAAAAGAAAAAAATAATAAATTTTACAAACTCAAATTTAAAACTTAGAATATTAAAATTTTAGACATTATCTTTTAATTTCTAGATCCCACTGATGATAATGTCGAGCAAAGAGCTTCATCTCCACAAGCACAAATCATGTGTGGATGTGGGGGCGTCTGCAATTTACCCACCAAAGCCGCAGAACAAATTTGATGCGGGGAAAAGGGGGAGTAACAGTACCTCTGAAACACCGGGGGCTTAACATCGCCGATGAACGAGGGGAGAATTTGAGTATTATGGTTTCCTTAGAACAACGTAACAGGTATTAATTAACGGAACTTTTAACAGTTAATACGGCATACGTACCTAAAAATATAATAAAAAAAACTTATACACTTATTTTTAGTGAAAAATAATTAAACACTTAAAGTTAATTTAACGAGTTCTATTTTATTAGATATGATTTCAGGCTACACAAACAACAAAAGGGATAGTTTTCCATTTTCAGAAATCTCAGCTTTTCATGTCAAAACAGTCTGCTTGTTTGCTGCTTCATGTTTTCCTGGAAAAGAAGAACAGCCAGCAGCCAGGCCAAGAACTTCTCTTTTCATCCCTGCACCATGTTACCGTAGGATAAATGAGTAACGGATCTAAAAATATTTTTCAAAATGAATATACATATATTAATAACATAAAATTTTTAAATGAAATAGATACAAATACAATTTTAGAGTAGGTAATATCTCTAAACTAAATAACTAATATAATAAAACTTAAATTTTCAGATGAATATAATTTTTTTAAAGTAAATATCATTAATAAAATAAATAAGTAATCGAAAAAATATTTGATTTGAGGGTCATCAAGATGTGGCTCCGCCGCTGAGATAAATAGTGTTTCCTTCTAAAACCTTAAAATTAAATATTAAACACAAAGTCTGCAAAAAGAGAACAAAACTACCTGTTGCTGCTGTCTTCTCTGTTGTTATGATTCCTCCGCATGAAAATCCATTTAATCCATCGTTTCTTACTCGCCGGCTTCTCGGATCCTTCCGGTGGACTCGGCGAAACCCTGGAGCTATTTTCAGCCATTGATTTCTTCTTGAAACTAACTAGACGAGTCGGGAAAGACATCTTTAACAAGAAATGATCAGCTTCCATACTCTTAGTTCTGGATAACGAACCTGCAGCAGTCTTCGTCTTCCTTCTCTTCGTCTCCGTTCCCGAACTTAAGCTCTTGTCTTCATAAACCACTCTCTCTTTGACCATCTCCGGTGGATTTTTTCGATCGACTAAATCTTTCAGCGAAAGCTCGTAGTTGGACTCGGGCATATTACGGACCATCTCCATGAGTTCTTTCCGACCTTGTTCGATGATCTGTCTTCGTCTTGAAGGGGAAAGGTTGCTGTAGAAATGGTTGTCAGGAAGAAGAGGAGAATCATCGGTTGACTTAGTAGCTCCCCACGACGGCGAGGGACAATCCTCGACACATGATTCTTCGACTTGAAACTCGACTTGGCAGCCATCGTCCAAGTTTTCGTCGTTAAAATACAAGGTCTCACGTGCAGCCCAGAAATCAAATTCAATATCTCCTGTTCCGTCACAGTTGTTGTGTATCCTGTAGGCCGGATTGAATGAAGAAATCTGGTCTCCTGTAACACCATGCCGGCGATCAAGCATCATTCCACCAAGGACCGAGTGAAGGTATAGTTGAATGCGAGAGAAATATATGGGTACGAATTCGGAAAAATATTGGTCAAATTTGAATAGAAGGTCCCTGTACTATATATATTCCACATATTTAATCCCTTTAGCATGAGAATTATAAAAAAAATTCAAGTCTGGATTAGAGGTGAATATTCGATCTAGTCGAATTGAGTTAAGTCAAAAAATTTTGAATTATTCGAGCTGATGATTCTTATTTTATAACTTAAATTTTATTTAAAATTTTTTGAGTCCAATTTAGTTTATGAAATTTGAGTAGAGTCAAAACTATTCGAAAATTTATTTAAATTTAATTATAAATAATATTATGGTACTATCTGATTTAGTTTATATAATTTTCAATAATCATATATGATCATATATATTTATTCATAATTTTTCATATATATATATATATATATATATATATATATATATATGATACAATTACACAATATAGGCTCAATCTATGATTTTTCTCAATCTAATGATCCTAAAAATGCGTAAAACTAAAAAAGTTTTAATGATGTAAGTAGATTCTAATTATATATGTATATGTGTGTGTATATATCATGAAGAATTGAAGGACTCGACTCAAACTTGAAAATTAATCTACTAATTAGTAAAATTTTGATTTATTCGATTTATTCAAGTTCTATTTTATAACTCAACTCGAATATAAAATTTTTCAGAGTCGAGTTTTTTCAATTACGAGTCAAATCCATTCGAGTCAAGTGTTTAGCATCGAGTCTGATAAAAAAAATTTGATTTTTTAATAGAGTGGAGTTTTGGTTACCTCTAATGAGGATACATTTTTTTAATAACCTGAGGTGATTATAATGTAGTATATGTTCATAATATTTCCTAATCATTGACTTGACACATATCCTGCAAATACAGTTACTCGAACCTGTGATTTATAAAAAGAATACTACTCGTTTCAACTACTGAGATAACTTAATGAGCTCTAGTCGGGACACATTTAAAGAAGCAGAGGAACAAAAGTTAAAATAAAAGGATTGTATTAGGCATAAGCACATAATATAGGGACCTTGAGTAGAATTTGTAAAGGGTGCCTAAAGTCATTGGTGCCGTCCCGGACGAGATGAGCATAAGAAGAGGTGAAATTGTTGTTCCAAATGTCAGGTTGGCGGTCACATCTTCTAGATGAAATCTATGATTTGACCAATTGAGGATTGGTTTCATTTGCGGTTTCGGTCAAGTTTTTGGCATTATTCAATGTATAATCGGTAAACCAACAAAGCATTAGCCACCCAATTTTATAAAACCACCCCGCATGAGCTGCCATTCTACTTATATAGAAACATCCTTTAGCTGACGGTTGGAGTCAAGAATCTCTTGGGCTTCGTTGAGTAATAATCCGATTGTGGAAACATCCTCTTGACCATTAGTAAGCCTGTTGATAATTGAAATTACATCGTCTTCGATGGTCGCGTTGCTCCAGCCGTTCTCGATTGCGAACTTGAGCCCCCGTGCGAAGGTCGCAGCTTCACCCGACGATTCCTATAGTAGCTGAAACTTTGGGGGTACAAAAAACCCCATCGACATTGATCTTGGAAAAAGAAATCGGTGGTCGGGTTCCGAGAGCGAAGATTGGTTGGCAAGCAAGACGGTCCAATCATGCTTAGTATTTAATTTATAATTAATTGATTAAAATTAAATATATAAAAATAATTTATCTAATTTTAATTTATTTAATTTTTAATATTAAGTTTCAAACACTTAAAAATTGGAATAAATATGGAATTTTTCCGATGGCAGGCGTCTGAAGTTGAAATTTATTTGAATGGATGGGATTTTGGTGCAGCGGAGGGCAACATTATTCTCTGGCCGTGTGGAAAACGAGAGTTTTTCAACCCTTTGGAAACTGAAGGCACACGTTTTACTTGAGAATGATAAATCTCACTGCAGCAGGGAAAAAGTAATGTAGTCAAATATGAATATATATTCTGGTAGAGTATAATATATTCATATTCGACTATATACAGAATAAATACTTATTTATCTTAGAATTTTAATTCATAAGAATTTATTTTTGATTTTTCATTAGAATTATTACTAATTTTAATTATGTGTCTTAAATGAAACTGAAGATACTAAAATTTTTTTTATCCATATTATTATTATTAATATTATTATTATCCTTATTATTATTAATATTATTATCATTATTATTATTATTATTATTATTATTATTATTATTATTAATTTATATTAAATATATTAAATACATAATAATAATTACAGGCCCAATTACAACTGGACCGGCCCAGTTACAAACCAACCAGAGCCGGTCCAAATCCAACCAGAAACCCTAAATATTTGGGTTTCCAGTTAGGGTTTCCTAACCCTAATCATCCTCAGCCGCCTCATCACAACCGTTGGATCTGGCACGATCCAACGGTCCACATGGTTCCAGAGAGAAACCCTAGGGTTTGATACCCTAGGGCCACGCGGCGCCGCCCCAGCTTCCACGCGGCTGCCGACAGTCTTCTCGCCGCCACGCCGCTGCCACGTCCCAACCGAAGACTCCAGAAGATAAAATGGCAGCCGTCCACGCCATGGCTACTCGGTGAGTCACCACTGGTAGTCCGGTGACTCACCGAGAGCCCTTCTTCGGACCGGTCCGACGGCTACACCGGTGGTGGCTATAAAAGCCACCACCCATCTGCAAAAAAAAAGGGGGGGACAGAAACAGAGAAAAAAAAAACAGAGAAAATAACAACTACCAACGATCCCAGTCTACAACAACAGAGCAAAAACAAAAGGAAAAAGGAAGAAAAAAACTTACCGAGGGAACCGTTGGTCATCAGAACCTTTTTGGAGCCATCAGAAAGTCAAAGGTCGAAGGTATAAACTTTAGATCTACGCATTTCAGTAGTATTTTAGGCTAAAAAACCTACGGATCTAGCTTTAGGGAAAACCAGGCTTTAATTTGGGGTGGGATTTGTAATTTCTGGCCACCGGATATGGCGGCCGGCGGTGGTATTGACGGTGGCTAACGGCGGCCGGCCGGAGAGCTTCTCTCTTTTCTAGAGAGAAGCGAGAGAATTTCTTTCTCTCAGAAAAGAGAGAGAGAGGGAAGAGAGGAGAAATGAGGCTGGCCCTTCGGGCCAGCTGATTTTAGGCTTAAATAGCCCTTCCCGAACGACGCCGTTTTGGGAAGGGCTATTCGCGTAATTACGAAATAGTTAAACCCCGGCCGCAGTCCTTCGTATTTGTAAATTTTACATTTTGGTCACTAAACTGAATTTGTAATAATTTTAATTTAGTCTTCGAATTTTAATTTTATTCATTTTAGTCCCTTTTATTAAAATAATATATTTAGGATAAATGACAGATTTAATCCCTTAATTTTAATAAATAAAATTTTTATCCCTAGTTCATATTTTTAATTAATTTTATTATAAAATTTGAATTTTAGATAATTTTGTTTTGGTCACTAAATTATTAAATTAAAAAATAAAATATTTAATTAATTATGAATTAGATTTAATTTTATTTTTATTATAATTTAGTTATTTATTTTATATGTTTTAATTTTACTGCTTAAAATACATTGTTTTAGTAATATTTTTTATTTTATATGGTTAAATATTTTTATATATTCATAAATATATAATAAATAATAATTTTTAAATATTTATTTTTTATCAAAGAAAAGGACAGTCTTAATACAACTGGATGTCCTATTCTGATATTTTAAAAAATTAAAAAATAAACAATATTATTTAAATTAATATTTATCAATATCAAAGAAAAGAGCTGTCTTAAGGCACCTAGAAGTTCTTTTCGGATATTTTTAAATAAATATAATTTTGAAAATAATAGAATTATAAATTAAATATATTTTTGAATTTTTAAAATTTTAATGATATAGACAATTTATAATTAAAAAGTACCAATTTTGGGCGTCGTAGGGGTGCTAATCCTTCCCTAAACGTAACCGACCACGAATCCCTTGTTATTATTAAAAAGAACGAATTTTTGGTTATAAACGCAGATCAGTTTAATTTTTTAATTGATGTTTTTTTTAAAAAAAACTCTTTTAAAAAATATTTTTTTTTAGGTATTCGACCTACCTGACCCAAAAGGCCGATGGCGACTCCCAAATTATTTTCAAAACCATTTATTCACATCAATTTTCCCGCCAAATTTAAATATATTCGTGCCCGGACGAAAACCGGTTACGACAGCTTGGCGACTCCGCTGGGGAACGGTCAAACTTTTAAAATCAATTATAAATTGTCTCTATCAGTTAGAAATTAAAAATTCATATTTTTAATTTTTAATTCTTTTCTTTTAAATTTTTATTACTTATTATTTTTATATATTATTATTTTTTATTTTATTTATTTATTATATTCAAGAATTAATTATTTTATTTGTTTGCTAGAGGTTTTAACATTTCTCCTCACACACACAACACTTGCATTGCATAACATAAAGCTCTATAATTGAGTTTGTCCTTTTTAAGTGGGAGTGAAAGCGACGTCTTCGTGAGAATTTATTCTCCGTGTCAGACCTAGCAAGTAACTTTCGGGGTTCATATGCTCTATGTCTTCGTGAGAATTTATTCTTCGTGTCAGTCATAGAGAAATGTGTCCCCTCGAATTGAACTCGATCCGCTTAAGTCTGTAATTGACTAGGATTGAGGGTTGACAGCCCAAGGGGGCATCAACAAGGACAGTTCGAGTACCTTTACTCCTAGAACTGAAAACCTGCATATAATAAACCTAGAAACTCTCTTGATCTGAAACCATGCCGAAATTTTGTCAGTAGGTATACACAAGGAGAAATAAGTTCTAGCTTTTAATTTATTTTATTTCCTTTTCTTTTTCCTGAATAAATGCATGCGAACTAGAAATTATGCGGTTAGGTTAAATTTTCCAAACAAATCATGGAACTAGAAAGCATAAGGTTAAGATTTATACCTTGATAGATAGATTTTTTTTTCTATTAGTTAGTACTAACTATTCTATTTTTTTTCATGCATATTACATTGTTCTAATCTGTTCATATTGATTTCTTTTGTTTGCATTACATGATCATGGCAT